CTCCTGTGATTATTCTCTTTAAGTTCCCATAGTTAAGAGAGTTTAACTTTTAAGTTTCCCCGTTTACCCCTTTCCTAACATTTTAATTGAGCACTCCCAGGAAACCAAGAATACTGCTTATTTGCATGACATATGTCATTTTTAAACTATGGTCCCTTCAGAGAATGAAAAGATGAGCCACAGACAGGAAGAAAGTATTTGCAAAACAAATATCTGATAAAGGAATTGTATCCAAAATATACCAAAAACTCTTGAAATATCAAGTTAAAAAACAAACAACCCAATTTAAAAATAGGGAAAAGATGTATACATGTAGCAAAGATGGTATGCAGATGGCAGATAAATACATGGAAAGATCTTCAACATCATATGTCATTAGGGAATTGCAAATTAAAACAAGACACCACCATATACCAATTGGAATGGCAAAAATCCAAAACCAAAATACAGACAACACTAAATGCTGGTGAGGGTGTGGAGCAACAGGAACTCTAATTTATGGCCTGTGGGAATGAAAAATTGTACAGCTGCTTTGGAAGATAGCGTGAAAATTTCTTACAAAGCGAAGCATGGTCTTACCATACAACTGCAATCCAGCAATTGCCCTCTTTGGTAGCTGTGTTTTATGTTTGAAACAAATCTTAAAGCTATTTGTCACTAGGAAATGCTGCTTACAATGAATATATCTTCTTTTCCATATGTAGTGACTCTACTAATAATAACTTTTGTATAAAATTTAACTTCAGGTTTTCAAAGAACAAAATGACATTTTGTTTCAAAATTCTGAGAATAAAGGGATGTTTCTCTCTAAAGAGGTTAAAAGAGAAAGACAAATCCCTTTTTTGAAAATCCACATATCCTTTCATCCTTGTCCATCAAATCTTTTATTCAGGTTCAGGAACTGATTATCTTTGTTGTACCAATACCTAAAGAAAAATGAGAAAGGGGCAAGAGATTACACAGCTTCAACTAGAAATGCTGTCAATTTGAGACGAATTCCACTCCATCCTCCCACAAGACACACAGAAAAAAAAAATAATAACTGTAAAGTCCATGCTGGAGTATGATCATTTGCTTGTTATGACTTTATGTGGTTTCATAAAAGGAGAGGGACAGTCATTGTGTCACCGTGTTTGCAAAAACGGGAAAGAAAGAAGAGGAAGCAATAGAACTCCTGGAAAGCTACAGACCCAGTGCAGAGTGAAACCCAGTGGGGCATTGGGACGTTGGGGAAATTCCTCCAAGTCTGGAAAGCAAAAAACTGAGACACCGGATTTCAAGTTTAGAGTACATTCAAATTAGAAGTTTAAGTTAAAAGTAGAAAAGAATACAGGTACAGGAGTGAATATTTCAGTTCAAGTGCCCTCTTTTTGACAGATTCACTTCTTTGGACAGTTTTTCACTAATGATAGATGTTTACTTCCTGATTCATGGTGGTGGTCTCAGTTGTGCGCCGGGATAGAGGGATTACGATTCGGCATTCCAGTGAGAGTTTACGCTTTGTGAGACCATTTGAACTGAGACTGTTGAGCCCTTCTTCTGTAGTTCCAGTCCATTCAGCAGGCCCCAGTGAGACCATCAATTCGTTCACGGAACCAAGAAGCGAACTAGGCAAAATATCAATTCCCCTACCGTAAGAATCATGATCCCCTGCTTTGTTCCTGAGAAAAGGGGTAGCTAGAAAACAGCTGGCCTTTTCCAACCTTCCAGAAACACCCTTGACATAGCTCCCGCATCCCCGTGAGCTACCTGGTCTATACACTCCTATCCAGGTCTCTGAATACATAAAACTTTTCCATTTTTCTTGGGTCTCTGCCTCCTCCAAGGAACCCTATGCTGAGTTCTAAGTAACTGACTGGGAACTACTGGATATCTAGATATTGCTAGTTATCGCTTCTGAATTTTCCATGTTCTTTTTGGAATAAGGAGGTGTGAAGTAATACATACAAGGAAATAAAAATTGCTCAATAAACAGTAAGCAGCAAATTAGAGAAGGTACAATAGAGGACACAAAGACTAAAAAGAAAATAATTTAAACTGGTAGTTCTCAAAATGGAAAAGCATCAAAATCACACAGAATGCCTCTCCAAAATAAATATGTCCAGACGGCAGCCAGATCCAGTGAATAAAAATGTCAGGGAGTGGAAAAAAGAGCGTGATTTTTACCAAGCTCCACAAGTGATTTGGATTATCAACCCTATCTAAAGTCACCAGCTGAATGCAGATAGAATTTGTAACTGAGCCTGAGCATTTATTTTTGTGTCTATTTTCCTCCTGTTCATTTTGAAATAAAAAGTGTGCAGTGATCAGGTATAAGGAAACAAAAATTATCCAATGCATATTAAGCAATTAGTTAAATTAAAATTAGAATATGATTCCTAGTTTTCATTGACTACATTTTCTTCTTGGATATGTAAAACAATGCTTTTAAAACTTCTTTTCAGTTTAAGAAAACAGAATACATGAAGTTTCACAGAAAGAAATCAATTAACCCGAACACATAGAGAAGAGAATTTTCAAGTTAATTCTGTGGTTAATCTGCAGTCACTTCCTTTTTTTTTTTTTTTTTTAATTTTACTTTAAGTTCCAGGATACACATGCAGAACATGCAGATTTGTTACATATGTATACATTGTTTTAATTTTTATTGCTCTAATGTTTTTGGCATTCACAAGTACAAAACAATCAACAATCTTTTTTTTTTTTTTAGGTTGTCAGCCTAATTATTTATAATTACATATATGGAAAATAGATGTAGAATAGAAGATTGGGGAGATTGAACAAAATCTGGATTGATCCCCTAGAAGTTTTATTTTGTCACTTGGCTTTTTGTCCTAAAAGTAAAATGCCTCCAAAAATTAGCTAGTAAATAGTTCATTTTAGTCGTGTACTTATTCGTAACCATTTACCGCAAGTGAACTTTAGAAGAAAGCCACCATGTTTATGTGAGGAGTTAGGATGGGGGTAGGTCACACTGGCACATCTATGAGGGGCAGCCCCCAGGGATGCTTTAATACTCTGCTAAACATTCTAAAAATCCCATAGGGCTTTGACCTCCCATATAACCTAATCCTAGTCAGAGGTGAGTTTACTGGCATCACCCAGCAAAAAAAAGGGCAGGTTCTGTGTGGGAGTAGAGATAATTAACAAGTAAAGTATGACTGGAGACTTGGGGGGCTGAGTAGTCAAAGCTGTGGTTTAACTAACAATTTCAGTTTTGAGTAGCTGGGGCCCCTCCGATGGCTAGGAAAGCGATATTTGATAGAGAGCCAGACACTAGCTCTAAAGACCTCCCGTCAGAAACTTCAGATCACCTAGAAGCAGGAAGTTCTTGGTAGAACCGTTGGCAGCTCAGAGTCTCTGGCCAATTTCTTAAAGCCACATTTTAGAGTTGGAGTTGGGCTTCTCTATCACTTTCTAGTTCTCAACCTTAGTTTTCTTTTCCCCTCAAGTCTAATTAAGGTAATAAGAAAATAGTTTTGTTTATGTGGCTTCTGTCACTTATTTCTTGGGGTACATTAAATTTTTAATTTACAAGTATAAATAACTCACCTGTCAAACTTTTATTCATTTTCCAAGACCCTGTTTAGATTTCACATACAGTATAAAGACTCCCCTAATTACCCCGGTAGTTAGGCACTCATGCTTTGTGCTGCCATTAAATTTTACAGATATACTTATTACAGAAAAAATATTACATTGTAGTTTATGACATGTCTATCTCCTTCGGGCAAAAACCATGTTTTATTCATATCCTATCTCTGTTCTTTGGTTCTAACCTCAATAAAGATTCTTGGGAAAAACAAAATAATGAGAGAAAAGAAGGAAGAAAGGAAGAGGAAAAGAAAAAAAACAAAACCTTCTTTATTTAAGCAATTATTTCTAGAGGACAAGAATTCAGTTCATTCTTTGCTCACATGAAGTGATTGGAATGAACAAAAACAGACTTTCAGACAATGTGTTGAGAGAGTAGGTCAACTTTTCTTTCTAGGAGGCCATCTCTCAAAAGCAGCTTATGTCTGGGAAGTGTTTCAGATCGCTGGTCTGGAAACTCTGTAGTTCCTTTCCCAGGAAAAAGACCAGGATGTCTGTTCGGCTTTAAAGCCCTTAGGAATAGCTTAAGTTATACATCCCCGTCCTCCAAATGAGTGGAAGTGCAAGGCTCTACATATAGCACCTCCTCAATAAATTCTTAGCAAAGTTACACAGGAATGCCTTGGAGAAATAGACAATTCATCTGAAATGAATTATATTTTCACTGGAGGGAAACAAAAGTCTGCACCAACTGCTCCAGAATGACCAAAGAAAGCAAGCTTAGGCTCAGCTTTCCAAGTTAGAACTGACGGCTAGTGCTCTCCCTAGCGGGGGGGAAAGGAATTCACAGTGAATAAATAGTTGGTTTTAGAAAAACTGAAAAATAAAAACTTTGAAAAGGAGACTACAGAGGCACAATCTGCAAAAGTTTCTTTACTATAAATATGGATTTGTGCCTGCCTTTTTTTTTGTTTTTTTGGTTTTTTTTTTTGTTTGTTTGTTTTGTTTTTTTGTTTTTTTGTTTTTTGACGGAGACTGGCTGTGTCCCCCAGGCTGGAGCGCAGCGACGCGATCTCTGCTCACTGCAAGCTCTGCCTTCCGGTTCACGCCATTCTCCTGCCTCAGCCTTCCCAGTAGCTGGCACTACAGGCGCCCGCCACCACACTAGGCTATTTTTTTTTCTTTTTTCTTTCTTTCTTTCTTTTTTTTTTTTTTTTTTTTTTTTTGTATTTTTAGTAGAGACAGGGTTTTACCATGTTAGCCAGGATGGTCTCAATCTCCTGACCTCATGATCCGCCCGCCTCAGCCTCCCAAAGTGATGGGATTACAGGCGTGAGCCACCGCGCCCGGCCGTGCCTGCCCTTTTAAAAGACAATTGGATAGAAGTTCAGAAATGTAGAATTCTAATTCTGTTGTTGACTGTTAATAGATAGATGACTTTAACAAGTCATTTTCATTTTCTGTACCTCAGTTTCCTGTCTCTTCGAGACGTATAACAATCTCCGATACACCTTGGAGTTGTGGTAATTCCAAACAGTTATGTGATCAAATTCTCCGCAGTTCAAACTCCTCAGATCCTCTAACAGCCGCTCTTTGTGTCTAGACAATGAGAAAAGAATTGTTTGTGAAATAAGTGCAATGGGACAGGACAGAATGAATTTTCTGGCTTGATTTTCTGATTTCAAATAAACTTAGTCATTCTTTCAGAAAGATGTTTTGATCAATAAGATGAAAAGTATTCAGTAACATCCAAAAGCTTTTCAAAGCTCATGTCATTGTGAGATCTTTTTGTTGTTGCTGTTTCTGATTTTATTGACCATATAAAGAGATTTTCCTTATAATACATTTTGATATTTCACATTGTATTTCTTTACTTTCCATATTTCGTAATGAGATAAAGATGGCAGGAAAGAGGTAGATAGAAGAAATATCCCATCTGATAAATCATTTTCAGTCCTCATTTTCTCTCGACTATTAAATGAAGTCAATAAATTGTGAAACAAGGCATGACAGTTAAAGCATCACAGCTGCAGATATAAGAATCCAAGTACCAGACATGTGGGATGTTAAAGGGACAAACCACACTTTAATTCATCAAGAAGTTCTTCAATAATGTTAGCATAATAACTTTTCTTGAATATTTACCAAGTACAAATTGCTCAATTCAAATTTAACCTCATTTAAAACAAGAAATTATAGTCAGCTGGAAGGCCGACTAGCTGAACATGAACCAATGGATGACAGAAAGAAACTCTCCAATAAAGCAATTAAAATGACAGAGAGATGAGAAAATAATTGTGACTTTCTGAAAAGGAGTGAATTTTCTTTACTCAGAGAAGGTTAGGTAGACAATTGCTATTGTAAAATCCAAGTCCTTCCAGAAGACAACATCAAAGAAATGGCTGTCCATGCAGTCCAGAAGAGCAGTCAGGTCCTGTGGTAGAACCCTATGAGTGACTGCTCCACAGAATTTCACTAGTGTGATTGGGAAGAGGAATGAAGTGTATGGCTGTAGAATGAGGTGAGTGAGCTTTTCTGCACAAGATAACCCAAGAATCATCAGTATCGAATGGTAATCTGCACTGTATTTGGGATCTCCTGCCCCAATTATCAGATATTTGCATAAGTGCTCAGAAGAAGGAATATGTCACTTATTAGTAGTAAAAGGACACACAACACTTATATAAATAGAGATAACATAAGTGCAAAACTGAATAAAGCAAAAATTTCCCCTTCAAGAAGTTCACAGTCTAAAATTGGGGATCTTAACCTGGAGCCTATAAATAAAATTCAAAGAAATCCATGAAAATGAGTAGAAAAAAATATATGACTTTATTTTCACTAACTGCAAACTAAAATTTGGAATATTCTTTAATTATGAATGTAGGCATTAAACTAACCACAGTTGTAGAAGCAGTAATGACTTTGTCACTGGTTGAAATTACAGATAATATAATATTTCTAACACTCATTGCAGATATTGTAAGCTACAGAGCTTGTGGATAACCAAGATCCATTTATACTCATCACTACTGAAGTTACATTAATAATTAGACCCACCAGTTAACGTTATTTAATGCTTTAATAAGGAAGCACATATATTACCGTAGCATATATTTGGGATTTTTTACTACTTTGATAACCATATTTCAGTAGAATTGGTTTCCTTGGTAATCCCATGCACTTTGCTTTATACATTTTAAAATATTATTCTGAGAAGAGTTTCATAGGCTTTACCCTATGGCCAAGGGAGTTTACGTAACAGAAGATTAAGAAACCCCATTCTCCAGACCAAATGCTGCATGTTCTCACTTATAAATAGGAGCTAAATGATGCGAACGCACAGACACGTAGAGTGGAACAACACACACTGGGGCCTATCAGAGAGTAGAGGTTGGGAGGAGGGAGAGGATCAGGAAAAATAACTAAAGGGTACTAGGCTTAATCCTTGGGTAATGAAATAATCTATACAACAAACCCCCATGACACAAGTTTACCTATATAATGAACCTTCACATGTACCCCTTAACTTAAAATAAAAGTTTAAAAAATACATTGTATATATGCATAGATATGTACTTAAAAAATTTTTTTAAAGAATCTCCACTCTCTTCTCTGAGAATCAGACAAGTACATGGCTCTTGCACCAGCCTGATGGAAGTGTGGTGACTGTCTTTTGATTGAAGTCTTATCTTCTAGATTTCTAGTTGCTTCTCTGAGCTACTCTAGAACCTTTCAGTAAGTCCTTTTTCTGCTTATATAATCTAGAGTTTATACCTATTAATTGCAACCAAGACTCTCAGCTAGAACAATATTTAATCAGTACTTGTCTATTATGATTTTAATAAATATATTTTATTAAGAAACACAAATAGCTATCACACACTAAATTTCAGAAATATTAAGAGTTTAGTAAGTCTCCCTACTGAATCTATTCTACCCTAATAGATGCTGTCATCTACTTTATAGCAACTACCAAATGACAGGCCTCGTACCTAACAAAAGTTGAAAGGGGGACCTGCCTTGCCTTGAAAATTCAGCCTCCTGTAATCCCAGCACTTGGGGAGGCTAAGGCAGGCAGATCGCTTGAGTCCAGTAGTTCACAGACCAGCCTGGGCAACATTGTGAGACTCTATCTCTACAGAAAATACAAAAATTAGCCGGGCATGGTGGTGCATACCTGTAGTTCCAACTACTCAGGAGGCTGAGGTGGGACGATCGCTTGAGTCTGGGAGGCAGAGGTTGAAGTGAGCTGTGATCACTGTAGCCTGGGCAACAAAGCAAGACTTCCTTTCAAAAAAAGAAAAGGAAGGAAGGAAGGAAGGAAGGAAGGAAGGAAGGAAGGAAGGAAGGAAGGAAGGAAGGAAGGAAAAAGAAGAAAATTCAGTCCCATGAAGTAAGAGCAATTTTTATAACTTAGGAAATATAAACTGTCTTGAATATCTCACTAATTATTTAATACATGCTTCTTCACTACTGGGCTTTTCTTATTCTCTCCAATTGCACAAATGACTTACCAAGGCAACAGGTAGTGATGATGACTCAGTGATACAGAATTTGACAATAATTCTATTTGCACTTTCTTGGACCCAGAGGGATTTAATTATGGAGGAAAGAAAGACAGTCTCCTCAATTAGAGGACAATGGCACTCTTATGATTTGGATGCCCAAGAGCAAAGTTAAATGGAGATTCTAGGGCAGATATGCAAATGGGCTTCATCTCACTTATCTACTGTGATCTGACAGTAGTGGCTGTCAGGAGCATGGTGACGGGAAGTATCTTGAGGCTACATCCTGGCTAAGCAAGAAAAACATAAGACAATTAACAATGCTTGTCAAAGGCGCAGAAGTGGTGACAAGAGCCCATCTTGGATCTACACGTTATCATGAAAAAATTAACCAAATGGGACCACGAAGGAGAGTTAGATTACAAGAAACCCCTTATTCTGTATATTGGCCGACTATTTACAGCCTCAATTTTGATTCTCAATAGGCCTGCTGAGATTTCTTAGGGCCTGGATGAATAGTCCAATATCACAAGCCATTAACAGACACAAAAATTAAACATGTAATACTAGCAAGTGATCCTCTTGGAAATTTCCCCATCAGGTACCGGCTGACCAAATGTAAACTTATTTAAGTATGTTTGTAGATCTTGAACTCTTTAGCCACCAACATCACTTTAAATGATGAGTAAAAATAGATAAGTACTTCAAACATTGGCAAACACTCAAAGGTTCAAAACCAAATGCTTCTTCCTAGTTTACCTTGTTTAAAAAGACAACACAAACTACTCCTAAAATCTAGTGACTGCCTACATTGGTAAACATTCTGGTACTGGTGGCCTCTGGTGTTTCTTCTTTCTAGTCATATTGTCCTTTTGAGCAAGGGTCACTCTTACTCCTCAGAGGAAAGTCAACATGACTCACTTTCAGAAACTGAAAGTACACCATGTCCACATAAGCAGTGCTGCTTACTGTATAACCACAAAACCACATCAGAATAAGTCAGCTGCTCAGGAAGGAGAAGAAGGAGTGAGCTGAACAAACTCACCCCCATTCCAGACGGGGAGCCTTTAAGAGTATCCACAGACTTCTTTGTTAAGCAGAGACTTAGATCAGAGGAGAAATGTCAGTGGTGGGCAGTGTAAGCAGGGTCCCTGGCTTCAGGTTACTGAATACACTGAAACAAGAGCCCTCTCAAGGCCCCACTGTAAAGCCCTGAGGTTTTGGCTTCATCATCTCTTTCCCTTCCTTTGGTACTTTCTTTCCCTAGTTTTCATCTCTCTCTGAACATCAGGTGCTCTCTTGCCAAACCTTGTGTTAAGTGATTTTGGACAGAGTTTAAGGAAGTGGAACTTTTCTCTGTGTTGGATATTGTTGGGATCCCATGACTGGGTATCTTAATAATTCTTACCTAGAAGGTGTGAAGTATAAAACAAGACTGACTAAAGCATTTCTTGGTAAAGCAGCAGCAATCACTTATATCAATAAGGATAGGGGCACACTGGGCATTTTTGTGGTCACTTTTAGACAATGCTCTTGGTTTCATCTGTGCTCAGACAGAATTATAGAGTGGATTTTTTTTTCCCCTATTGTGATCACAGAGTGCCTTTTCTGATGTTGGCATTCTATGAAATTGTTTCTGTTCAACACAAGAACACAGGCCTAGCCATGAGTGCAGCACTAGCTTTAGCAATATCAAGGTCTAGCCTGTTCTCCATTCTTTCCTTGGGACAATTCACTCTTCCAAGTGACATAAACTAATCAGAAGAATTAATATCAGTTAGCAAGAGTTAATATTTTGTCATTAAGGGGCTGGAGGGGTGTCCTGTACCTGCATTATAATAGTGACCTTTTAGAGAAAAGGCTGACCCCAGATAAACCATAATAGTGAAACTGGGTGGAAGAAAATAGATTCAGGAATTCTCCAATTAAATCGTATAGGTAACCAACTCCTCTGCCACCCTATGAGCTGATCCTACATTTCATACCCACATTTGAACTTGCAGGTAATCAAACTAAATGAAGTCCATTCATGTTACCCTACCACTCAGGCTTTTGGGATAGTTTGCCATCCACACTTCTAGAAGTCTCTCCTTTCACACAGAATCTCCTTTCATCTGGAAGACTGGTCTCTTCTTGTTTTTCTAGTTTCTAAATGAATTCATATTGGAGCTTAACTTGCCAACCCTAATGAGTTGCTTTCAGAATCATCGCAACTGTTCTCAACAAGCCACCCTTTTTTGCTTGACTTCCCACTATTTTGGAGAGTGATTGTGAATCCTTGTGACTTCTCTTCACAGCGCTCTTCTGCCACCTGTTGAAAGCTCGTAACACACAAGACACTAGAGTTGCCATTCACTTTCAAATTCTACACACCCGACACCAACACTAAGAAAACAGACACACTCACAGATGTCAGTCCATAAATACCTTGTAGGCATCTGATGCTCCCAGAAGAGGCCTGGCCCTAGGATTTCTGGGATGAGGCCCTAGGATTTCTGGGATGAGGCCCTCACCCATCTATTCTTCTTCCGCCTCTCTGAAACCCTAGCACTATAGGAAGGAAATAGCTGATTGAGAAGGATCCAGTTCTTTGCTAAGAGTTCACATTGAGACTGGAAAGGAAATGAGAATAAAAAGTATCTGGACTTCTGAAGGGGCCACAGTCAGCCCTGTGGGATAAGTGAAGCTGGAATTCCTGAGGACATCTTGCTGGTTCTCACCATCTTGTCTACAGTTGGTCTTAACAAATAAATCTGATGTCAACATTTATATCAAAGAAATAATAAATAAATACCTATCTGTTTACCTCCTGTTTATATTAGGCCAGACATTTTACTTAATCTTCAGAATAGCTCTATGAGATAATATATGTAATTGTGTAAATCTATGGGGTACAATGTGATGTTTTCTTCTATGTATACATTGTAGAAAGACTCAATCAAGCTAATTAAAATATCAATCGCTTCACCAACTTATCCTTTTTTGTAATGAGAACATTAAAAATCTATTCTTTTAGTAATTTTGAAATATATAATAACATATTATAAGCTATGGTCATCATGCAGTGCAATAGAACACTAAAATATATTCCTCTAATCTAACTGAATATTTATACCCTTTGATCAACATCTTCCCTTTCCCCACACCTCCCAGAGATATGTGAACACTCCCACTTCACAGAAGGAAAACTCAGGCATGGAGAGGCTAGGCAATGTGTCCAAAGTGACATCTCTGCTTAGCGGAAGAGTTGAGGCTGAACCTCAGAGAGACACGCCCTTGCAACTGCTGTACTTTTCTGACTTTTGCTATGCCACCTGGAGTACTGATCACTGGAGGAGAGAAAGAGGGAAAGAAACATCCTACCTCCTTCCTGAGTCGACATTCTGTGCCTCTTGGTACTGCATTTCTCAGGCACCCTAGAGCCCTTGGACCAGATTCCCAGCTTCCATGGCCTGAAGGAACGTGGAGTACTATTCATCCTTTTTCTTTGTCCTGGATAGTTGTAATAAGGAATCAGCAAGAGAAACTCAAAATCTAAATTCTCCTTCAGATCTAACTATTAAAAAATAAGAAACAAGTAAACAATTAATAAAGTATGTATGTAGACATGTAAATAGAATAATAATATTTTAAATGTAACCTAAATGTTTAAGGGAAATTTTAAATAGATTTAAAAAGAAAATTAACCTTTAAAATCAAAATAATTTCTGAATATTTTCTGCACATCAATGAACATTTAGGGTCGTGCTCAAACTGATGTATCTGAGATGTAAGAAGGACACCAGAAATGGAGTGCTTGAAACCCAGCCACCTGCCCTGATTGGCCAGCCTGGTGGCTCCTTCCTGGAGGAGAGATCAGGAGGGCTCACTGGCATGGAGAAAGGCTGATAAGTGTCACTCTCTTAAGGGAATCGCTTTACATAAGGAATGGGGAATGAAGGGGGCGGGGAAAGGAGGGACACTTTGGTCTGGATCTCATCCATGGCAGAGACCTTGAAAGGAACTCATAGATGACTTTCTGGAATAGAGACCATGAAGTGATGATGGTTCAAGAGCCAACTCTAAGCCCATAGATGTGTTTTGACTGACTCACTCAGTGCTCTGTAAACTGTGAATTAGTGCCAGCATTTACAAATCAGGAAATTTCATATCAGTTTGTATTTTTGATTTGTCATGAGAAATGGAAGATCTGGTAACACTGGGCCCACATCCCCACATGAGAACAAACTGAGTCCATCCAGGCCCTTCGGAGGGTCAAGTGACTACTACAAGCAGGCTACAGTAGTCACTCAGCTTCTGTCTGCAAACCTAGAAGCAATTCAGTCTTTGGCTTTTGATCCAGCAGTGGCTGGCCACCCCACCAACAAAGAACAGTGTACTGCAGCTAAAATCTGCCCAACCACCTAGTTCTCAGCCTGCAGACAGGACCATGACCTCATGAATGTAGAGGCTATGGACTCTCACACCGTTATGTCCGTAATTTAGTTATATGGCATAGATGTCCATAATTTGGTTAATCTTTCTGTACTTGTCAACTTGTGAATTGTTAAAGGCCAGAAATTGACTCTTATTTTTCCTTGGACCCCATCCTCCTCCCCACTTTCACCCCTCTCAGTTCCTAATAAAGGGCCTTGCCCATAGTAGACTGTCAATAAGTGTTCAATACATTTTTTAAAAAAAATCACTGAGTGGGCACTGTCTTCTACTGCCATC